TTTTTTTAAACATCTTGCGACAGATGTGGCTAATGCATGAACTCATGACTCATGACTCATGCAGTATATTTGTTCTTATTGTTTGTCCCTTGAATACGATATTGTGATGTGTTATTTTTTTTAGGAAAAATGCGCTCAATAAGATTATGTTTTCTCTCTATTAGCAGGTCCAATATCAATCGGAGTCAAAATATTCTTCACATAAATTGTTCCACTATTTCGGTAACAGAAAGAATAAATTTCACTAATGATTTTCTTTTGAAATATCACTTGACGAACGAAGCCTATTGAGAAATATTGGAATAGTTTCTGATGCTTTTTTGAAAATCAATTCAAATAGAGAGATTTCGTCAGGCTTAAAATTTCAATTGTCCATTAGAAAATGAATCAATTTGACGTATGCAATCGGATAAACCGATTTTTGATAATCGTTATTTTGTTTTTCTAGTGTTAAGATAGTTTTAGAACCTAAATAGGAATCAAATCAAATCTGTCTCTACGGCAAACACATGCAATATTAATATTTTCTTCTCTGAAGAATAATAAACTAGAAATCGAATTGTCAACATTTTCTATCGGATAACTAATAGAATTCTTTAATTTAGTGTTATTATTCTTAAATAAGTGTTTAAAAGATTCTTACGTGGCTTTCGAGTCTTGACTTTGATTGATATCTTGTCTGATCGCTTATCAACGTCAGTGGCAAACGATGGACCCGAACCAGGAATGTAGTAAGCATCTGCAATTAATAAAAATCAAAAAGATTACATACATATATACATTCTAATGTTTATTCAAGGGTTTGTCTTCTAAACTTACTAGATTCAGCAGGTTATAAAATCTCATGAACGACGAACAATGATGTCGCATCGACCGTTGCAGATTGTATGTGCTCATTTCCAGCATCATTATCTGATGAGGCCACAATTTGTATTTGACCAGCTGAAATCATTAATATAGACAAGCACGTTTTTTATAGTTAGATCTTGATAAAAGGATTTTTGTTTAAGACTTACAAAGACAAGCGGTTTGCAAATCCAGTTCTTCTTGGGCTAATGTTGTATTTTTATTGGATTGATTAATATTTTGACCTATAATTGAATTTTCAGTATTGTCCTTGATGAATGGCTGTCCGTCTTAGAAGGAATTCATATTATTTATCGCATGCCCGTGATTTATTAATCTAAAAATGATACCTTTCATTAAAAATCGATTTACTACCAATTCAAAATTGGGTAATCCCATCCCTGTATCCATTCAGGTCGATATAACGCATGTAGAAAACGTTCAATTATCTTTGAGTATCATCAATTATTTTTCCAATGAATCGTCAGTCACAAACTGATGACATCAACATACACCTTTTCAAGTTAATTTTGATCATCATAATTGATGAAAGTTAGCTTATGTTCATATCAGTTATCTAAACTATTCATTGAGAGGTATTTACTCGATCGAATCAGACTATAGTAGTAAAATTGTACAGTTTCTGGTATCTATCCAGAGAAATATGTGAATTCGCTAGGATTGAGGGCAGCGATACTCAATGAATGACTCTACAGACCGTTTGTAGATTTTTGCTGAAGCTGGCTGGATTTTATGGAGAGGCATTCGAGTGCTTTTTGGAGAGAATTGAGGAGCAGAAAAACCAAAACATCGCTGAAACTCCATTCGGAGAAAGCGAAAATTTTCTGAGATTATAGAGGGTCTGCTCGGTCCATATTAATCTCGGTGTCCGTTTGTATGCGTAAAAAAATTCTAAGATTCATTTAAGTGATTAGCTGTAATGTTGATTGAATGGTTTGGATTATTATCTGGGAAACTATTCATAAATACTATAATCGTCAATGGTAAAGCCTAACGGATCTAACTCAGCAGCACCTATAACATGGCGGACTCGGTTTGAAGTATTTATCGAAAAAATTATTTTCGTTCACATCGCAAATTGTAACGCTCTCTTATTTGAAAAGGCAACGTCGGTAAATATTTTACCTGTGTGTTGACAAAACGAGTCGAGCAATAGGTTGTTGACGGAAAAGAAAATAATTCATTTATTCACATGTGCAGTTAGATAGTCTATCAAAACGGTTGGCGAAGTCACCTTCTTTTCTTTCATGAAGTCATTGGGATAAACTACAAGGAAAAAACTATGGTTGATTAATACTCCAGAAGTCTTCTAACAGAAGAAGAAAAAGCAAACATAAAACGAAAAAAAACTTATGTCATTACAATTCGTTTGAAACGAGCAAGGACATAAATGGTCAAGATATATTGGTTTTCTTCCCGCTTTTTTATTGTTCTGCGTAAAAATACAGGTATTTTTTGAATGACTCATTTATTAAGTTAGTCTAACGTTAAAAAAATAAGAAAAAGCGCATGAAAATATTCACTTCTCTAAACTTAACGGCAGCAAGACACGAGCACTTGCATATATTTACCATTTTATTTATTTGTTTTTCTCTCCTGACTTTTTCTCACTTGTATATCTTTACCTTTCTTTCAACTACTATTTTGCATTTGCATGAAGGTTTGAGAAGATGTACTTATCTTATCTTCTCTTCACTATGACGTCCACATCCACATAATTTCATAAAGTTCATTTCTATTCAAGTTCTTTAGTCTATTGAAAATCAAATCTAATTTTAACGAATGAGCCTTGTGAGATAGCTGACTACACATAAGAACATGTTTTCTACTTTAGTCTTTCTATATGTAGCATAGTGTTCTTAGTGGTTAATGAATCTAAATGAGATATGTTTTCAAGTCACAGACTTCCCATGATATTTAATCGCTGTAAGACGTAATTTAGTCACTATACGCATCCTGTTCATACAATAAAAATGACTGTCGAGAAGTTAAGTTGACCATATCATCTCTATTGAAAATTTCTTTCGAGTTTTAAGCCTAATAATTGCTCTGCGGTATGAATGCAAAATTTTTGCTAAGAGTATTTATAATAGGGTCCAGGAATAAATCGAGCATTTGAGAGAATACGCATCATGAGAAAAATGTTGTTTATATGTAGATTACTTACTTTATTTGGTATCACAGTAACGAAATTGTGGTCGTGACGTATGTTTGAGATGAAGAATACAGAATTTCGTAAACAATCTTTTTTGTGTCGCATACGATCGTATATCTCCATCACCGTATACGGAGCAATAGGATCATAGGCAGGAAAATATGAGATATAAAAGGGTAAGACTCTATACGGCCTTTGTGTACAAGGAGCGTAGATGCACATTCTCATCTTCTCAAGCCATCGTATTTTAGTATACAACACAGAGATACACGATCGTCACGTTGAACCATGGGATTGCATGATCCTCGGAATACAGTTGTTGACGACAAAGCAGCAAGGGGAAAAAGGAGATCTTGTCATCCAAAATTTCTAAAATCTTATAAAATATTTCGGAATTCTTCAAAACCCTTCGCTTCGAAATCTTGCAAGATCTTCAAAAATCTTAAAGTTAGGCATGCTACAATATCAATACAATAGTGAGGCATCAGGATTGAATGGGATTGGTATTGCCACTATTGGTTAGGGGTGTAGAGATCACGTTCACACTCATGAGCGCGTATTTGAGAGTTTCCGAGCTTGAACTGGATAGCTCTAATGCACTCAAGCGAAAATGGGTCGAGTTTTATCAGTAAATCGTGTATTGGAAGCACAGAAGAAACGCTCACGCTCCTATGAATGTTGACAGATTTCATTTAACTAGAATTGCTTGATATTTTCAAAAGCCTTTTAAAATCTTTTCGAGTCTTCTGAAATCTCAAAATCTTTAAAAGCTGCTTTTCTCTCTTGTATTTACCTATTAAACGTTTACTCTCTTTCTCTTGAATTAAATTCGAAAAAATGAACATCGTTATTTCGTATTCATCTATTCTAGATAAAAATCTGCTACTATTCAACATTTTTTTAATAATGATTCATTATGAAAAAAACTGTTTCACATCTAGTCTACATGCTTCCATTGATGTTAAACAAGCAAGGATCGATTAAGTCAACAAACCAACCAATCTTCACCCTTCTCTGAAACAAAATCGTAACGATCAAGAAAGCAAAGAATTCGTATGAAAATAAAATTAGTCTTTGAAAGGACAAAATCACAAACCAAAAGACTTGGACAAGAAGAAATTGATGATTCATGTTACTCTCGACAATAGTTTTATGCTATAATTTAAAGGCAAATTACTTGGCCTATGGAAGAACTAATATATTTACAAACCTACAAGGTTTCGTCAATAAATTATATTCTCCTACAAATTGAAACGTGTAGCAATCAATCCTTATATCAATTGTTCGCGAAGAAAAATCTTCAAAAGCATGTTAACGAATATTAGACCGGAAGATACAACGACGACAAGTGCATGACATTTTCAACGCGATTGTGTCTATACCTATTCATACATCAAAAGGCCTTAAACAGTTAAAAAAAAACACATATTTCACATATTAATTCGTATCTCGTTGTAATTGACTTGTTTTTGTTATTACTCTTTTCCTCTTTCAATAAATATTCATCTTCAACACACACTTTTTTATTCAGAATTCTTTAACGTTAATATTTTAATCATCTGGTGTTGATGGATAATACCCATGTGAGAAATCATGAATAAGCTCAAAGGAGGAAAAGAATTGTGGTATGAATTCGTAAGAATCCCACAACAAATGCAGAATTGTAAGCACCAATTGGTGTCTTGCTGAAGTTGTCATCAGTTGTCTCCGCTATTGCTTTTTTAATCGAATTATTTTGATTTATTTGTAAGTTCATTATTTACGATAATGATTCACATTTTCTTATAGCAATGTGGATTTTTTTAATTGCTTTTGACCAAAACCACATTGACTGATGTTGTTACTTATACTTGAGTGCGGGGTTTCAAATTGTTTCTCAGAGTGTAAGGAAAATTTTTAAAAAATCTACATTTTTAAAATTATCTACTTCCATAGCATGAAAACAACTCATTAATAAAATTTCAAACGTATTCGAGAAATGTTATTAACAGACAAAAATGAAGCTGATGATAATAAAAATCAGTATCCATATTCTGATTCTCAGAGTGAGTATGATATTTTAGCTACTGAATTAGGTGATACATCAACTGATGAACATATATCAGAACAATTGGATTCATCAAATTCTGATATTGATAAAAACGACACTGTTACACATAGTCAATCTGAAACAGCCGAAAAGGGCGGTGCTTTATGGTTTACATGTCCAGATTCACTAGAAGGCTGAATTTCTGTTGTTAATATAATGAAAAACCCCAGGTCCTACTACTAAAATGCAAACCCTTCTTAATACTTTTTAACTTTTCATTGCAAATGAGATTCTTGATAAAATTGTTCTGCATACAAATTATCATGTGGAAAGAAGCTTTGATCAAATTGAAAGATGACTACAAGACTCTAACACTATGAAAAACATTTTCCTCGTTTTATTTATAGGCATTCAGATATATCAACACACACGTATGTACATCTATCTACTACTCTAGACTAAAATGATTAAGTCTAATACTTTTTTTCAGTTGTCCTCAATGCTGTCATAAAGAAGGTTCGAGACAATCTTGGTTTTTGTTGATTTTTTTATATCATTATATTGCCAAAAATGAAACTGGTATGTCAATCTTCATAAAAGAGAGTATCTAGACATTTATATCACACATTAAAAATTTCGCATAAAGCAAAAGTATACTTTTTACTTATTTCTATGCATGGATCAAGGAGGAACCAAGGACAACAATGAAGAATAAAAGTTAGGACAACAACGAAGGCTTAAAGACAATAGCATCAGTATCTTTAAAATATGTGAGTATTTCTTATTTATTACAACAAACGATTATAAATGTCGAAATGGTGTTCTGTTATTTGACACTTTTTTGAGATGAACATAAACAATAGCCAAAGTGACAATACTCCATCAGAACCGATAATCGTAAATAATGGAAACAAATCCAATAATATCAGCTGCGATCTGCTGGAGTCATAATTCGAAACCAACCATTGGCAGAACTCAGTACGACAAATATGATTTCAAGCCAAAACCAATGGATATCTAACCTTCAACAAAATGATAATATAAAAAGAAAGTCGACCAAGACGGCAGTAAAGTCAACAAAAAAGATATCCACCACGCAAATAGTGGCAGGAACATCTACGGTAAAGAGAAAGAAAGTGCTTTAACAACATATGACATAATCTATATCTATTCGACGAATTCAGGGACGAGAATATCGTGGAGGCACTCTTAGGAGCATATGATTTGGCAAAGATGAATTCAAAGGATAAATAGAAACAACAACAATTGAACGGTATCGAAGGACTTGTTGTTATAATGCTATTATCGCAGAAATGTGACGAAATTGAACTACTACAATAAATTGATACAGTTCAGGAAATTCTAGAAGAGGAAGAACAACACCGAAAAACAAACAAACTAATACAGCAAGAACTATAGAAACAAATCGAATTTTTACTTCAACACTAAAACGAAACTTAGATTTATTATACTTCTCATAAATTTTTTCATTCATATCAAACAACAAATCAATATATAAAACATGGTCAGACATTCGAACATTGTAATTTGCGATTATTACTAGACGATACTCTCCTTTGCTTCTATTTCGGACGACCACTACCATCTACAAAAAATTACACATGCAAACAATTTAGCTCGCAAGTATTCATTCATTCAAAAACAAAAAACAACGATGTTCATACAAACAACAACCAGAAGTTGAACTGATATCAACAAACTTCTAAGCTAACGAAACTAAACACGACTAACAACATCGTAATAGAGGGAACACAAAGTAGAAATAGAACTATTCGACAGCTCTCAGAATACATTTCTCGAAATGCAACTGAGTCTAAAAGTGAATGCATATTTGTTGATGATAATATATTGTGTTTACTATTAGTTTGGAAGTTTCCTTAAAAACTTTTACCTATAGCATTATACAGTAGAAGAGATATTACTTTATTATTCTTTCAAATCATTAGTAATTGGTGAGATTATATAAGCGTCATTGAAACATGACTTGCTAACTTTTGATTGATATCATCACGCAATCACATTCACATGCACTCTTACGTTATCGAGAACTTTTATTGATTAAGATAAAATAGAACAACTTTTCAAAAGTTAGAAAGAATAATTAAAAAGAAAAATCAAACAATTTATAGAATAATCGAATAGTTCCATCTTGTCAACTGTAAATGATTTCAATTTTGTCCGTCCGGAAGCAGTTCTTCTGGCTTGTACACCGACAATATTGACTTATAGGGAAAAATCGGCCACTCCCAACATCGATACGTAGGATACACGGCAAATACGAAACACCAATTCGTGCCGGGACAACACCAGACACCGTAGTATGGCCGACAATATCTATTTGCCCATGCTTGAAAGAAGGGACGAAAACATTGCAGAAATTGCTGAAATTGGCACCAACATAAGTAATACTTATATTGCCATCCATACCAATAATAAATGATACTGATTGCACGATAACTGTACTCGCGGGAATCATCAACTGGTTCCACTGCGAGAGCAGCCGCGGAGCCATTAGAAATCGCTTGATGTTGTTCTTCGGTCAAACTCACTCCTTTGGTCTCTCCATCATTTTGGCATGCCACACTGTGCAGAAGTAGAAGTGCAGCAAATATAATCATCATTGTCGATCGCTTGTACATAATATTCTACGAAATTCATATAATTTAATCAAATGAGAGAATATTCATTAACTTACCTTGTTATTAACGATACTTACAACTAGTTCACATATTTATACAAACGACGAGGTTTATACAAGTGAAAATTCAATGAAGTGTGACATATTAATTAGCAACCTATTTTTATAACACTAATAGCTTCTTATTCGAAAATGATGACTTTCTCTCATGTAAACAACGCACATTAGACATAGATATGATTATTTATTTACGAGGCCTACTTTCGAGTAAATTTCATTAGGATTTAATTATCAAAAGAGCTAACAATATTTTTTCGGAAGTTTTAATGTCATTCTTATACTGTTTACCCTAGAGAAAGAGTTGTGCATTTCGACTCACAAATTACAATCGAAAAATATTCTCTCACACTGTGTATCACTAGATTTTGTAACATTCACATCACTCACTCAGACAAAAAAAGAACTCGCAAAAATGCTTGAAAGGTTTCGAATGCGGAAAAACATTTTTTTTTTCAATTTCACTTTCGTTCAAGTTTGTTAATGGACTCGACTTTTGTATTAATCATATTATCAAAATGAAAAATTATATTTCATAGACTTAAATCGCTATTATGTAGTTTAGGAACTAAACTTAAAATTCTTTTTTATATCTTAGGTACGATAGAGATTCTCATGAATTAAAGCTAAACTAAAAGGTTATTGTTGCAAAACGAGATAAAAGATTGAGATAGGTAAGAATTTTTCTAAATACGTAACATGTAAAGATATACGATGAAAAATTATTTCAGCTATAAGAGTTTTGTTTAACCAATGCACACTCTTTGAAATTAACATATATATGAAGGTTGTCTAATCATTTTTAAGATATGTTAATTTTTTGAACCTACAAAATTGAATAGGCATAGAAGTTGTTTGCTTATCAATGACATCTATTTTATTAATCAATATGTATTGTACTTAGTTGACATAGTTATCAAAAAAGAGAGTTACTAGAGAATAAATTAAAAGAATTTTATCAAATTTATCGTCTACTCCTATTTACTATTGGTAAAAAAGATATCAGCCACTTATACACTCTGAGTCATTTTTATCATTCGGTTATTATGCAGTTTTATTTAATATCAGACACGGATGACCTATTTTATATAGTTAAGATAAATATATAACCAAAAACGAGTTAAAAATAAACTTGATTAACTTATTTACGCATATATTTGTCACAAACGCATTTTTATATCACGATCGCAAAATAGTACAATAAATTTTGGATGACACATCGTAAATTTTCGTCAAATACAATTTTCTCTAAAATCGACTTCCATTAAGCCCAAATATTCTTAAAATTTTACTATTCTTTCTTCGAATTTTTAGTATTTAGAAAGTGATTGATCTTTTGAACTTTTACAGATTCAATTGAATTTTCGAAAAAATTCATTTTCCAAAAAATGAACAAACAACGCTGACTCAAAAAAAAACAATCAATTTGAATTTAGAAAAATCATTTTATCAATTACGATATGTTTCTTACAAGTATTTTCGAAAATAAATTATTATCTTTGATCACGATATTTGATATTTCTTTGTTATATTAATAGAAGAATGACTTTACTCATAATTATCTAAATATGTGCTTAAAAAGATGTACTTTTGTTGCAATGGAGATTGTTGAATCAAATTCACCTGTTGCTCCAATTAATGTAACATAAGCTGTCTCTGAAAAATGGCTTGCATATTATGATGGTTTCTCTCATCATAAGAGAGAAAAAAGCTTGTTAGCGTAGCCCCTTTGGAGCTGAAATGTGGAACACACATATACACTCTAGCCTTATTAAACTAATACAAAATACGTAAAGTGATAAATCTCTCGTAGACTATAGCTGTCTTGCAGGGTGATCGACGTCTAGAATAATGACTTCTCTAATATCTGCATCTCGAACAGAATTTTTTCATTTTTCTCTACGAGCGCCCTATTTTTGTTTGCATTATTTCTATTCGCTCATTATTTTTCATTTTTTTAAATTTGTTTTTCTTAATTTAACATTCTTATTATTATAATTTTTGAACTGATTGACAAATAAGTCTGTTTTAGATATTCATGATATCTACAGCATACCTTATGCAATAGCATATAAATTAATCAAGTCACAAATAATGACATTCATTATTTTTTAAAATTATAACTTGATCAATTTTCCAAAAAAAACACTCGAAAATCTGATACCTTTTATTATTGGTTGCTAAGGTCTGTAATGGGGGATGTCTGTAATGGAGAGGGGCGGGGGGAGCCGTGAAAACTTGATCTGAAAACTTACACTCACTATTTTCTTCGAAAATATATGTGAGTTCTACAAAATAGATAATGTTAAATGCCAGATTCTAGATTTTTTTTCTATTTTGTTCTGTAGAAAAGAAATTTTTTATTTGTAGAAATAAAATACTTCATTTAGATTTAATTTAAATAAAGTAACGATTAATTTTTAGCACCCAAAGCAGAACACTGCCATTGTAGAAATAATTGATATTTCTTTCGTGCATCTCA